GGTGTGTGTATTGTAGTGTGGGTTGAATGGTGTATGGTGTGTGTATTGTAGTGTGGGTTGAATGGTGTATGGTGTGTGTATTGTAGTGTGGGTTGAATGGTGTATGGTGTGTGTATTGTAGTGTGGGGTGAATGGTGTGTGATGTAATGTGATACATGGCTCACTCGACTGTGATACATGGTTCACCTCAGTGGCTCAGAGCCGCCGACAGATGTCAGTACTAGTCTATGACTGTATACTAAATATACGACTGTGGAATAAGATGTGAAAAAGACTTACAGATGTATGATGCATACTGTAAACTGAGTATGGTGTTATATGTAGTGTGTATACTGTATGGTGTGATGTGTAGGGGGTATGCTGTATGGTGTGATGTGTAGGGTGTATGCTGTATGGTGTGATATGTAGGGTGTATACTGTATGGTGTGATGTGTAGGGTGTATGCTGTATGGCGTCTCTTGTGTGGTGTGTGCAGTGTTTGTATGGCGAGTACTTCTTGGTATATAGTGTTGTATACTCTGTATTATTTACTGTATGATGTATAGTTTAGTATTTGTAATTTCAAGTGACACGCCATGGTTATTGTGTATTTTCTACATTCAACAGGGAGGGGGGGAACGCTAAACCCGTAGGGTTCACACATCGCCTGAGGGGACAGGAAGGTATTCCGGCTGTGAGCCCAAGACTGGTAACACAGGTTCATGCGTACTGTGGCGTGCCTGCGTGTACAACCCGATATGTAATGTGATATGTACGAGTAATGAAGAGTTATTCGGACATGTGTATATGATATCTACATCTTGTTATATTATGCCCGAATTAATAAACACGAGAGAGAGAGAAAAAAAAGAGAAAGAGAGAGAAAAAAAGAGAGAGAGAGATAGAGAGAGAAAGGGAGAGATCGAGAAATTCATTCGCATAAGGAGTTTTTTCTTCCAGGTATATTACCAGTCTTCTGGTAATACAATTATGGTTTCTTTATTATTCACATACGTTATTATCTTCATATTTTTATAATATCAGCTTTTTTTTATTATTTCTTTGTCTGCTTTTCTATTCCGTTTTATTTTCTCTACTTATTTTTCCTCCTTGTCTTACATCTGCTCTTCCTTGCAGGACGACGCGGGAGAGGTGACCAAGGATAAATTTGACGAGTTGTGGGAGCAGTACTTTCACTCTGAGAACGTCGAGGCGCCCGGCAACTACATCTTCGGAAAATTTGACTTCTAAATCATGCACCATATCGATGTTTAGCTAGGTAGAGAGAGAGAGAGAGAGAGATATCTGAGTGTCTGCGGTTTCGTAATGTCTTCCTAGCTGCTTGGGTGCCCTCCTAGTTATCTGGAGGTGTTTAGAGAGGAGTATTCTTGCTGACTTCAGTTTATTCCTCAGAGTATCGTAGCCAAAGAATGCACTTCAAAGGAGCGTTTCTCATGCCGTGGGCTACGGTCACTGTATGGGTAGTGAGCGAGGATACATACTAATGGATCTTCTAGCAAATTTGGCAGAGAAACACTGTTCTGGAGCGAGTTCGTTTGGTTGTGAAGTGTTTTAAAGTATATCTTGGCTGCTATGAGGTTCTTCATTGCTCATGAAGTACACATTGGAGGATGCCCTGACTGCTGGAACGAGCGTCAATGCTCATGGAAGACACACTGAAGGATGTGCCTGGCTGCTGGAAAGTGCTCCAGTGTCATTGCAAGACACTGGAGGATGTCCTGGCTGCTGGAACGAGCTTCAATGCTCATGGAAGACACACTGAAGGATGTGCCTGGCTGCTGGAAAGTGCTCCAGTGCCCTTTCAAGACACTGGAGGATGTCCTGGCTGCTGGAAGGTGCTCCAATATTTCTCCTCTTCTTTGCACATAAAAGTAACGCTAACTTAATCATTATTATATAAATAATGTTAGGATTTTTGTTTTAAGCTATAAGAAATCTGTACCAAGCATAACATTCACAAAACGTATCTAGTTACAATGAGGATATGTATCCTAGAATACGAATATTTTTTTGCAGTTTATATATACCTATTTCTGTAAAATGTATCGTTCTTCTCGTGTATGGAATCCACAATACTGTGAACTAAACCACCAAGAAATGCGTCCATCTTGTCAGAAGCTGCCATTGCTCGACACCTTCACTGTAACTTTCAACTGGCTGTAGTCGACATATTTTGTAGCTTTCTTAGCTCTTTGCTTGATCAATTGTCAATGTATGTTAGATGTTCTGTTTGTGATAAAAACGGTAAGACTGCTGTAAAGAAAAGAAACAACTTAGATATATGAAAAAATGCTGTAACGAGAGAGCAAAACAGACGATATATTTACACACATTATTATCCACATTTGCATTGTGCATATTTAGCTTAGCGTAAATGTCTTGTTTTCAAGCGTAATAATACATTAATTTGGGCTGTCGCTTGACGGGAGTTGGCTATACTGTTGGGATAAGTTGAAACACTTTTTTGTAACTAGCGATTCTAGCGATATATATATATATATATATAATATATATATATATATATATATATATATATATATATATATATATATATATATATATATATATATATATATATATATATATATATATATATACATATAATTATTAGTAATGTGAGGAATATATTACGTCTTTGTTAAGTATAAGGAAGGTAGAGTTAGTGTTGTTTGGTGGCTTCCGTTGTTGGTGTTCTCAAGGAGGAGCCTGCTGAAACATCTTCCCATTTTCTGTTCACTGACATTATTAACATGAGAGTACATGAATGTTCTTTTGTTACAGTAGTGAGTCAGTGACTACAGGTGCGACTAAATGACCAACTTTCTTGACTTACTGATCTGAGTCCATGACTAAATAGAAGCACATAACTTTATGACTAGAGATCGTTATTAAAGCAAAATTTACTAGAGATAAGTAATGATAGTTTTTGACGGAGGTTACTAAATCCAGTTTTATAATCCCTAGAAAACTTTTCATTAACACACTAACATATAAAAAAAAAACCGACACCGTGGTTTCTCCTATTTTTATGTTTATTTTGAAAATTTTGACAGTAATTTTGTCATTTGTAATGAAAACATTTTAGGTTAATTCGAATTATATAATAAATGTCATTAATAAACGAGGAATGTGGCGTCAACATTGATTTTTTGAGCGTGGAAGACGCACATGTTCATACTGAGAGAGATACATCATTTAAGACACTTTCCCTCGAAACAGGAAAAAATAACCACATTGTTTTATAGTTTAATTATAAACTTCAGAATCAGGCGACTCAGCTCTTCAGTAGGAATGTCGAGTCATTTAACTCAAACACTTATGTTACCACTCTACTAAATTAGTGGTAGCATTGAGGCTGATGGCTAAATTATCGTCACCTACAGCTTAACACAGTGTATATACCCAGGCAGTATATTTGGTTGTATATACTGGAAGATTTTCACATTTGTAATAGCGTACATATACACCGAGAGGTGTATGTTTCTCAGAGGGATTAAGGTATTCTTTGAGTAGTCGACAGACTTTGAGCCCAGGTAACCAGTCACTGACGTATTATGAGTAAAACAAGTTCACAGCACCTGGGCATCGAGTGGAAGTGGAGACCTAATTTTTAAGATATTCAGTCTCTTAGCCTTGATTTAAGGTGTTTAGATCCTTAACCTTCACTGAAAGTGTTCAGTCCCTCATCTATGACTGAAGGTTTTCAGTTCCAGAGGGACTAAATACCTTCTCTCATGGCTAAGATACTAAACAACTTAAAATTACATCTCTTCTACTGTCTGCAGTGCAAAATTCGCCTCTGTATTCGTATGAATAAGCCTGCTGAGCAGACGATACGTTTTAGTAATGAAGATACCTAAGTGTTGTACATGTGTCTTATTTGTTACCTTATCGGTGTTGTATTTCAGTAATTATTAATGGAACACAACACCGATAAGACAGTGTCATTATATTAATGATTAATATAATGACACTGCATCGTGAATGAATGACAACTCCATGACTGTGTGATTTAATAACCGAGTCATTCAACTCAGAACTACGACTGACACTGACTCACTCTCAAGGCTCCCTGCCTAAGAGTTATACTTTGAACTCCCTGACTGAGTGACTCCCAACTCATTGGTTGAATCACTCGCGACTCAGAGCTACTAGTAACTCACCATTCACTGACTCACCCTGTCACGCAAGTTCTAGTTGTAGCTAGCAGTGAGGCTAGCAGGTGGAGAAGACTATAATAGCTTCCTTAACACCATTGTTGCTAGCATTCACTTTAACGTCTGATTTATTAAAAAAGCGAAATGCATAATATATTCTTCATTAACAGTAAGGATATTTAAGTACGAGATAAAAATCTCTGCTTTACAGCCTCCGTAATATTTGCTTTCTTCTGTGTGTCCCCGGGAGGGAATAAAACCTAAAGTATTACCACAGATGTGTTTTACTGAACACCGTTTAATATTTAAGTGATGCTTCAGTGTAGTGAACACCGTTTAATATTTAAGTGATGCTTCAGTGTAGTGAACACCGTTTAATATTTAAGAAGTGATGCTTCAGTGTAGTGAACACCGTTTAATATTTAAGAAGTGATGCTTCAGTGTAGTGTACGGTGCAGACTTTCATGTACACAGAGGAGGTGTAATATTACTGACAATTGTAGTGTTGAAATGAGCTTCGAAAAGAAGAGTTGACTGTAAATAAGGGAGACAATGCGAGTTATGGAGTTTTGTTGCGAAGACGTTTCGTTCACCAGGATTGAAATGTCTTAATGCAACGTCACAACCCGTATTTTGTATCTTATTTTCATACTGACAGTATACTCTACTACTGCATTAATAGAGTTTTTAAATATTCTTGTGCTCTTTTCTCCATGAATTATTTGTATATCTTTCTAGTATTACATAAATATTTTATTACCTTTGTCAAATGAGAATTAAATTCTAACAATGAGATCCAAAACCAAACAATATGTATTACATCTCATATTATACTTTAACAAGTGTAAGCTATGTGTCCATGAATTAATATTAATGCATAACATAATACAGTGGAACCTCAAAAATCGAACTGCTCCCAACTCAACCAATTATGTAAGTGTATTTTTGTAAGTGCTTTTATAAGTGTATTTTTGAGGGTCTTAAATGGTCTAATCTAATTTACATTATTCCTGATGGGAATAAATTCGTTCGGTAGTGGCACTTCTGGATCGAAGAAAGTTCGATATTTGAGGTTCCACTGTACATAAACTCGTAAGTCATACAGTGTCTGGGGAACGGGAGGTAATCAAGGTTCATCCTAGACAGACGTTAGCTCCAGTTCTTCGATTCAGAAGCTCTTCAACTGCATCATAAGAGTGAAAATTAATTTGTCATATAGTGGTTGACCACTGACCAGTACAGACATGATGGTTGGAACCCGTCACTCACAGAGATGGATATAAGAATATAAGAACACAAGGTGGAGCCTCAAATCATTTTATTTCTTCCAGGTTGTTATATACCCAGTATTGTGGATTCTGAGTTAGTACTGAGTTTAGGATGCAGAGCCTAAGAGGTGCTTCTCTGTCATACCTGAGTTAGCATAGGAACTGCTCGACCAACGCGGGGACAAATAAGGTTGAGGCTACCTATTAGGAGAACTTCTCGAGAAGGCTCTTCATCTACGAGAGACTTTATCTACCCTAGTCTATCAAGGACGCCTTCCAAAATAGTCTCTAGGGGACGAAACGTCTTCCCAACAAATTCCATTAATTGCATATTGTCTCTAATTCACATACCTGTCAGTATCTGTAGATGAATGGTTCAAAGAACCGACATGTTGTTAAATTAGACACATGTGCAACTCTTGGGTATCTTTATTGAGGAAACGTTTCACCACACAGTGGCTTCATCAGTTCATACAAAGGATAAACTTGAAGAACAGGAGGAGAATGTGGTAATCAGTCCCTCAGCCTTGAGTCGATGTGGTCAGTCCATCAATCTTGAATAGAATACGGCATAGGAGCGGAGAAGCAGCTTATAAACCGTATGGCAAGAGAGGTGCAGCAGTCATAGGTGGTGTCACATTTGTCCACTATGGAAGTAGGTCGTGCCCAAGGTTTAGGCAAGCGAAGCAACTTCTTGGGATCTTAATACTTGGGAATTCTTCGCTTGCCTAACCCTTGGGCACGACCTACTTCCACATTGGACAAATGTGACACCACCTACGACTGCTGCCCCTCACCTGTCTACGGTTTATAAGCTGCTTCTCCGCTCCTATGCCGTATTCTATTCAAGATTGATGGACTGACCACATCGACTCAAGGCTGAGGGACTGATTACCTCATTCTCCTCCTGTTCTTCAAGTTTATCCTTTGTATGGACTGATGAAGCCACTGTGTGGCGAAACGTTTCCTCAATAAAGATACCCAAGAGTTGCACATGTGTCTAATTTAACAACTGTCAGTATCTTTTACCAATAATATACAAGGTCTTTTAACGTTGGTGTAGTACTGGTAGAACACAAGTCTCGCCAGAACCAGACATTTATTTTGGTGGTATATGAGAAAAACTGAGGTAAGACGGAGTACAGACAAGAGTTGAAGGTATAAAGGAAGGTATAGATATAACAGATTGATTGGTGATATAACTGAGACCTGCTTCGAGGTCTGTTCTACACTCACAGGCTGACCTCAGGCCAGGTTTTCTCGCAGACTGCCTGGCCGACCAGGTTGTTGGTGCTAGCGGCCAGTAGGTCTACACATTTTTACTGAAATATTTACAGTTTATGTGATGAGCGTGAGGGATTAAGGGGACATCTACCTTTATTTGGTACTGCTCGTTTGCAGGTGGAAATAATGTCAAATAAAATTAACCGAGTCTCTAAAGCCGGTATTAATTATTTATGTTATTCTAATTATTCATGAGCTTGGTAAATCCGTATAGTGGAGGCTCAATCCTCCGTCCGCTAATGGCCAGAAAACAAGCTACATGACTCGACTCACCTACCTCGTTAAATAAAAAGGGAGGTCGAAATTTTATTATGTCTCAAGACTTTAAAATAAAGCGACGGTGACACCTCTTCATGGGTCTCCCTCCTTTATTAACCCATCAAAATTGACTCAACTTACTTATCCAATTTTTATGGTGTACCTCTATGTTCCAAATGTCAATTAAGTTAGCTAAGCAGCAGCAGCCACACTGTGGAGATTTTTTTTAATGTATCAGCCGTCTCCCACCGTGGCAGGGCGACTTAAAAAAAGAAAAAACGAATGTGTTTTCCTTTTACATTCAGTAATTTATGCAGGAGAAGGGGTTACCAGCCTCTTGCTTCCAGCATTTTAGTAGCTTCTTACGACACGCATGGCTTACGGAGGAAGGATTCTTTTCCACTTCCCCGGGATGTCACCTCGAGTCAATGATCCACTCAGTAAAATTTACGTGGCACACTGCACAACACTGGAGTTTATTTTAGTTAACTTGTTAAATATAGTGAAGACCCCGAAACTAATCAGTCCGTCAC